CCTGACCATTTTATCTATACCTGGCCACAGCTGTGTATTAATATATTAATATATCCTCTTTGTCCTATCGATATTAAATTTTCAAGAAGTTAATTTCAAGCGAAGGGTAATATTAATCGAATGTTAAACACGTATTCTTTGCTACGCTGTCGCAATATTGTATTAATCTATCAAGTTTCACGAACTAATACGAGTTACAAATTATCAACGCGTTATTCGTTTCTCTAACGTTATTAACTAAGAACTTGTACAAATTTCTATTCAATTTCGAGCAATATACGCTGGAATAACGTTTGGAACCCTGTTAAAATTAGAAATTGCGTCTCGTGCTATTAACAATAACAAAACACTATACACTATACACTATACACTATACACTATACACTATACACTATACACTATACACTGAACACTATACACTAAACACTATACACTAAACACTATACACTATACACTATACACTAAGCACTATACACTAAACACTAAACACTAAACACTAAACACTATACACTGTACACTAAACACTAAACACTAAACACTAAACACTGTACACTATACACTAAACACTAAACACTGTACACTGTACACTATACACTAAACACTATACACTGTACACTAAACACTAAACACTAAACACTATACACTATACACTAAACACTATACACTAAACACTATACACTATACACTATACACTAAGCACTATACACTAAACACTAAACACTAAACACTAAACACTAACAATAACAATAACAATCTTGTTGTTGTTGTTGTTCTTATTATTTATAGTATTTCACGTATGCTTATGTCCAACATAATATGAACAAAAGAAAGTAAGTAATTTCATTTACTGTTATCCCTGTTTCATAACAATCGATCTAACGTGCGTTTACTCGTTAAGTTTTTTCTTTTATACTCGGACGTACTTGAACGTTAAAACTTCTAAAGTTCTCCGTTACACCGTGATAACTGAAATGAAAATTCAAATTTCAATTACAGAATCGAATGGCCTCTACTATGTCTATTTTTGAAAGGTTAAAAGTATTTTGACTATCTGATCGGGTTATTTCGTATTTGTAAAATTAAATTTCCCTTTATGGAAGTGGTTTGTGATTACGCGTAATTGCAATTGAAATGATTAAATGTCAATTCTCTTCTTTCCTGAAATTCATTTATCTTAAATCAATCGACAACGTAAATATCAGAGACCATCGTTATAAATATCTATAAAACGTCGATGTAATGTAACGAGCGACGGATATATAGAAATTTATTTCCCTGTTGTTTCTAGTTTTTCGAAACCACTGATAATAGCGACAGCGTGTAACGGTAATAAATAAAAAAGCAGGCTATTGTATTTCGTTGTGAATTAAAGTGTGAAATAAAAAAAAAAAAAAAGAAAGGATCAATGCAGCGGAAAATATCGTTGAATTATTAATAAGTTGAAACACACATTAATAAGTTTAATACACGCATTGAATTTAAGCTTGGCTCAAGTACGTTGTTGATTGGATTTTTAATTTGGTCCTTTATGGAACTAGGCTAATTAACCTGCTCAGTTTTTATTATTTCTGATCAATTATCATTTCTGATTACATTATTAACAGATTAGCTCTCACGATTTATGAAAGTTGTTCGTGTACTAAAATTAAAACGTTGAACGAAAATATAAAATATGCGGAAGGCGGCGAAGCTGTAAGAACCAAACAAGCGATGCTCTTTAATATTGATAATCGTTAGATTCTACTCTAATGGTTAACCGATCACTTGAACGAAAGTGAATATAATACTTTTACTTTCGTTGCATTCGTTATTACGTTTATATATAAAATTTGTTGCTATTAAATTCATTATGATAGTCAAAGAATAATTTCACGTGTGGCTGCAATATATTAATAACAATAATACACGCTGCGCACCGATATTCCTCGGCAGCTTAAGCCTACGAAGAATTGTTCGAAGAACGGTTGATCGTCGCGATCGAAAAGTCGTGGACATCGATATTGAAATCGGCGTAAACGGCATCGAGGTTCTAAAAAAACAGGTTTTCGAAAGTATGCTCGCCGGGAAGAAGGAATGTTTTGCGTGGAAGATTACGCGACGAAGCAAAATCGTGGTCGTTCGACTGGAATTACAACAACTCCGCGTTTCACAAGGTCCGTGCAAATTGTATTTATGGTCTTCGATCTTGTACGAAAGAAGCGTGTAAGCAGAGTAAATAGAGAAACGAGGAAGAAAAGGAGCGAGATTCGGAAGATCTCGTAAGTCTGAGGAAACTGAATCGAGGGGAAAAAATGAAAAGCGAACGCGCGTGTGAGTACTGTAAATCACATTGTTTTCTTGGCAAATTATTTTCAGAAACGTTTCGGCTATTTCGGCATCGTCGGATCATTTATTCATGACCACGATGTGCGTAACGCACGTGTGGCATTGCTAGATGCACTTACGGAAGAGACGACGTAAGTTTTTGAGGAAATTGTAGGGCTATCCTCTTCGAATCGCCGTATTATTTCGCGAGTGTCGTTGTTTGCGAACTTTCGAATTTATATCGAACTTATTATTACGAGAATATCAGCAGAGAAATAATCGACGAACCGTAGCAGCAACGCTCAGAACAGTGTCAAAGATGCGTAATATCGTAACATTGTGTAAAATTGTCAAAATGTTGGAAAATTGAATCTCACTGACGCGATACGAACGATCGTAGATCAGATTCCTCTCGAAGATTTGTATCTCGAGAGAGGAGTAACGTGTTTATGGTTAAATTTCATTTCTTGGAAATATTTGTAGATACTAACGAAGTGACTTGTTTCTAAAAATATATTTCTAGCAAAGAAACAGCATAAACGATTGTGAAGCTTGAAGCAAATTAAGAACATAATTTAAGAAGCTTAAAAATTAACTTAACGAGACGAACCTAAATATTCAAGTAAAACAAACACACACGTAACAGCAATAATAAAACCGGTATAAACTGACAAACTGTTGAGAGATTTGCGTGATCAAAGGATTATATCAGAGACTACACGGTAGTTACGGAGTAAAGGAGGAACAAAGGATAATGCGGGTGGAAAATCGTTTTTCTTTCGTGTCGTGACAAAAATCAGGAGACAATGGTGTGTGCCTTGTGCTATTGTGGAATACGGAAATACGTATCGCCGAGGAAACTGCGATCGATGAAAAAATAAAAATCAAGATAAAATAGATAAAGTAAAGCCTGTACAAACTAGAAACTACTCGAAGCTATATGCTGATGCGTGTATTTATTGCAATAAAATGTTGGCTAATTGTTTGTATCAATTACTGGTATTATATAAATTATCGTAAAAATTGAAATGTTTAATAAGATCTGAATCAACGTGATCTTCAACGCGAAACTTATCAAACTTGTCGGATTTTCCCCTTTAACGAGCACGGGTGAATCAGACGTTTCGCGTACGCTTTTATTTTGAAGGCATTTCCGGTCAGAAGAATGCAACTGCATGCCTCTCAAGATATTTCTATTCGCATATGAGAAGAATTAGTGGCGTTTGAATAGCTAATGTCGTTTCGTTTAACAATTTCTCGAATAAGGTACAAAGCAAAAGTAAAACGTTTCTATTATTGGTAACGTAGAGGAATCATTGTAATTTCTAGATTGCAAATTTTTATGTATTTACAGAAAATCTAAGCTCGTTATAATCCCCAATGGATAGAGTTAATTTCTATTCATAAATTATTAAATGTCCGTAGTATAGTAATTGGGAAAAGTAATTTGACATCTGACTGTGTCCATTCTAGATCAATTTGATTATATTTATGGATTCTAATTCGAACATATAACGTATAACAAAACATATAATACTATACATAGTACATAATAAACATAACATTAATTGGAATTATTATATAAAAATTAGAAGGTACCAACTTTATAATTTTTGAAATACTAATGGTAAATTATCGTACATTGCGATATTTAGTAATAATTCTTGGAAATGACCGCTTTTTCTAGCAAAACACATAATTGTGATATCGATAAAAATTTAATGAAAACTGGTAATCGATTCAAGCACTCAAACCATCGTCAATTCCACGCGTGTAAAATCCCACGTTGAACCCAACGTAAACTCGTCATCGCGGTTTGATTTCAATCAGTTTCGATCGTAGGATATTTCCTAGCCACTCCTCTATTCCTGTAAACGCCGATCATGCGTGCCCATTACACAGATGTTTCCAACCGTACTACAACACCTATCGTTTCTCCTATCATCCAGTAAACCTATCCTTTTATCTACCCTTTTTTTCTCCCTATCTCGCCATTACTATATCGCCACAAGGAATGTGCTAAAAATCAAACTAATGCGAGCGAATCGGCGAAAGAAAGAACAATACGTGCAATGCCAACGCGAAATATGTATATTGAAAACCAAGCCAAACCAATGCACAGTTCAATGCAAGACAAAACAAGAACGATACGTGGATTGATAGCGAATCAGGAGGTAAATATATACAGCTACGAAAGGCTACAAAGAGTATTTGAGCACGCGCATATATTACAACGATGCGTTCTTTCTCAAATTTGATATGCATCGAATCTTGTAGTTGTACGAAAATTCCCACTAAAAATGATACGAGATCTATAATATGCATAAATCTGTAATATAGAAATCTGTAATAAATACGATAACATTCGAATATTTCTTGCAGCGTACTAAAAAGCAATCGACGAAAGAAACGGAGCACGATACGTCGAATAAACCGAGAGCCAAATATATTCAAAATCAAAGCAGAGCTGCTGAATCTAGAGCGCGATACGTCGATCGACGATGAACGAAGACTGAACTGTACCGAAAATCAGGCGAATCCGATGCACAACTGAAATGCATGACAGAAGGAGCGCGATACGTCGATTGACAGTGAACCAAGAGGCAAAGCACACTCGCGTAGCATTGTACGCTGCCGCTGGCGTTGATGGTGGTAGTCACGAGTCGCGTGGTGGGAGGCCTCAATAAAAGTCAGTGGCAGACTGATTGTAATTCAGAGTGGCGGTAGACTTCGGTACCAGTTCCCCGTACGGCCGCGTCCTTTCTCCGTGCCTCTTTTTCTCTTTTCGTTCTTCTTCGTTCTTGCGTGCGGTCCTTGGTGATTTTTCAAAAAGATTTTCTCCTCTTCCTCGATATCAATCTCGTCACCGATACGCGTACAAGAAGAAGTACAGCTCGAACGAGAACTTGGAGTCGATCGTCGATGATCATAGGTCCCAGTCAACGCGACAGACGCGAGAAACCGAGGAGACGTTGCTCGACCACGTTCGACGAGGTGCGTGCCTCTACGAAAACTCGCGAGACTTCGTAAAGATTATCCGGCGAGCTACCTGCTTGGGAAACACACGAGATCGATAGTGTCGTGGCAACGACGTTTTAGACTGACCCTGCTGGCGAGTTGTTCCAACCTGGAATAACTCGATCCTGCACGTTTTCCCGCCAGGACAACCCATTTTCGATAAGATTCATGCTCGACACGGTCAACCGAGTGGCAATCGAGCGAAGCTGGAATTGTTTTTGGGAAGAAGAACGATAGTTCGAAGAGGAAGATCGGAGATTTTGAAGGATCGAAAAGACACGTGGATCATTGGTCGCGTCATCTTGCGATCAGCTGAGGCACAAACGACCAACGAACGCGTGCGTGTAGTCAGTGACACCGGGGTGAAGGGACATTTATCTTGGACTTTGTGACATTCACGGTGATCGCCTGGCGCCTGAAGAGATTTTGACAGAGGAATTTTCAAAATTTTCAAGTTACTGAACGAAGCAGCAGAATGGCCAGGTGGAATCGTATGTTCGCATGGGAAAGGTGTGTCGGAAGTGTCCTTTTGGCAACTCTATTCGCCGTTTCGCACGTTAAATCCGAGGAGCAGAAGTCGACTGTATCGCAGACTGCAGCTATGGTAAGCGTTCGAGCAAAATCATTTTGAATTTCGATCATTGGAAAATACCTTGTAGAGAAACCTGACAAATGTATTTTGTCGATTGCAATGTCAATTTCATTTTGTAGTCGCAATATCCGTTTATCCCTATGCTAAGTAGGCTAATTGCGATTCCGATAACACCGACTCTTTCGAAAAGATACTGTCAAGTACGACAGAAGTCAGAAAGAATGATAGACATATTTGAGTATCAATAATTAGTCAAGCACGCCTGGTATTCTGTCAGAACGCTAGTAGTCGATCAAAAAACGTTGTTCCATCAAGATATACCTATGAATCTTAAAAAACATTAGCAACCATCCGAGAAAAAGTTAATCACCCGAAACGTAGTATTATTCGATAAAAAAGTAGCACAGTGGAATACTAAGATTTTCATTTCTCATTCGAATCGATCAATTTTCAAAATAGTAAATTTTATTTCTAGAAATTCTGTAATAATTGGGCAGAAATCTGTCAGTGTAGAGTGTCGTAAATAATGTAGCGTTATAATAATTTACACCAAAATCTAGCATTTACGCGAGTATCGTGAAAAGCTCCAACGAATTGAATGGAAACGGACAACAATGAACATCGATGAGTAAAATTACGTTGTGCAATCATTCGCTTCTCGTGTGGTGTGCACCGTGCGGTCGGAAGTATTTTCATGGTTCTTCCTGGAAAATGAAACGTTTCGAACGAACGCAACAAGTTCCAACGGTCGGAGACTTTACAGAGGGAAATACCTGCATAGAAACGGTTAATCGTACGGGAAAATTGATTCGCGCGAATCTGTCACACGCATGCTACATGTGTGTGTCATGCGTGAATGAGTAATGGTCGCGTACACGGTTTCTTTTGACAACGCGAATAACATTCCAGAGGAAACGTTTATCTCTATGACACTGATATACGGATTACGATGAACACCAGGCATATCGCGAGTATGACACCAGCTCGATCTATAAAACGATCTTTCCTACATTTTACTAGTAATTAGAATCGAAGGACAGTACTTTGTTGCTGATTTGCTATCTTTCTTACGACGTTTCTTTCCATTAGATAGATTGTACATTATCGTTATTATTAGTGTTTAACTTCGTTGTGAAAATAATTTATCTAACGATATTAATATCGAATTTTATTTCGTTTGTATCGTCGGTATTAACTTCATATTAGTTGTTGGTAAAAATTAACGTTTGAATATTATAAGTTAATGTTAAATTTTATTCCAACTTCATATTATTCGTGTTATTAGTATTGACTTTCGTTTTATTGTATCATGCTAATACCGTTCATATTAACTTTATCTTATTCGTGTCACTAGTAACAAATCTCGCTTAAACCTTTCTTATTATCGTCAAATACTGCATCAACTTTGGGTTATTGCTGTTACTGATTATTCATTTCGATTTTACTTCATCATATTATATTACCTTATCGACGTTATTAGTAAAAGAAAAACTTCTCTTAAATATTTATTATTAGGAACAAACTCTATTCCAATATTACTTGCGATATTACTGTCGATCTTTACCTTCCTTTATCTGTCACCGATATCATCGATACGAATATCTTCTCCAAAAATTATCAACAACTATTCTCTTATTTTTAATAATGCTCGCTTAAACTCTTGCACAAAGGTTCGTTCTATTGAGATCGAATCCCGGCGATAACAATTACCAATCGCGCGAATTTATTGACGATAACTGCGAAGATAGAACTTCATCAGATAGAGGACAATGGTAGTATAAAACGATAGGAATGTCGCATAAGTAATTTCGTCTATTCCTGGTATTCTGAAAGGTATGCAGCGTATAAAGCAGGAAAAAAAAAATTCAGACCGGTTTGCGAACATAATGACATAAGGTCGGACAGTGTGACGTCACTTAGCTACCTTCGCTGACAAAGTTCAGCTACGCGCGATGACTCGCTCCTGACCTTCGATTCATTGAACAGCATCGGCTACAAGCTTACGGTAGTATTATACGCGTTTCAATGGGAAATTTCACAATTCCTAACAATGCCAATCGTCCAGTTTCCTAATGAACGTTTCTTCCTATTTAACTTCGCGTTTCGGGCCATAATTGAACCGAATAACAGAGATCGCCTCGGATAAGTCTGATAATAGCACCTTGGTCGAACGACGGTCATTGAAATCGCGGCTGTAAAGAGGTAATTTTGCGCGAGCCTCTTAAGCAATCTCGGTACGCGATAACGACGTAATTATCTGTCCCGGTAAATACAAACGATGGGCCGCTTTATCTTCAAGGTTCGCGACACGTGAGCAGACCGATCTCACACCCTTGATTGCGATTACGTTCCACCGACTCTTTGTTCGGCGTTAATCGACGCGTGTATCCGTAAACCAGAAGGGGATTTCGTTTTGACAAGTGTCTCGATACCTGTTTGCAAATAAAACTCGATAATTATTCAGGAATATTTATTTGTTCTGTTTCACAATGTTAGTATAACGTTATTGAACGTCGGTACAGTTAAATTCTGTCCTCTATTTTTATTGTCATACGTTGGTAAAGAAACATTTCTACGTGAGGTATATAGGTGAAAAATTAAATAAATATTAAATAGGTGTTACTGCTTATTAACTGCAATCGCGTGTAAATAAATTTTATGTTCTTTACGATCGATAGAAAAGAACGCTATCGCGTGACTTTATTATGTACATCGGTTTTACGATTGTTGATTCGATTCCGTCAAAAAACGAATAGGAGTAAAGCTTTGTAGATGTCTCGATCGAAACGATAATGTCAAATACCAAGTTCTGCTTGCACTCGAGTAACAGCGTCGCGAGTGAAAACTAGGCTAAACGGTTGTTGCAAGTAGTAAGAATCAGGAACGTAGGCAGTAGAATCGTACTTACTTCGATCAGACATATCGCAGCGTACTTATACTTATTCCTTAGCTTCTCTTATGTCCTTATTCAGATATATTTACGCGATTGCAGAAAATTTATCGAGGGGATTTTTTTTTGTCTAAATTAATTCCTAAAGGAAGATCATTTCAATGAATCTTTCCAATTGAACTATCGGAATTATTTGGCATATTCTTTAATGGTTCGAAAGATATTCAACATTTATCCCTCTTTTCTAAGTTCTTTTCTATTTTAGTATTTAACGTACTTTCAAAGAAGGAGGACAGTGGATATTTTCAAGTACATTTGGTATTATTTGATCGTTTTTCAATTTATCAAGGAAATATCAAACGCTTATTCATTTTCCATAATTTCATGTGCACGCTTCATGTAGGTTTAAAGGACACAGCTGATTTTAATTATTCATAGTATTCAATCGTTCAATACGATATAAGAATCATAAAATCGTCTCGATTAAAAGAACAAGTTTCCTGCCGCGTGTTCAAGCTGTACCGACACGATAAACATGATCGATTGTCCAGGAAGAAATGCTATTGCCCTACGCTAATTTATTCGATAATTATTATAGCTGTCTAGTAGAACGATGTAGTCGTGATACATCACTCGACACATGGGATATAATACTTTGCACTACGATCTTGCCTATAATTGACACGAATTTATGTTCCTGGCAATGAGCCAAGTCAAACAAGCACCAGCATGACAAAGCACCGTTTCACTCTAAACGCCCATGTGTTGTAGCAGAGAATTTTAGAGACGAGGTACGCCCTTACACGCGTTTCAAACGCGGCATCGTAATCCGTAATGACTTAATTATCGAGAGGAAAAATAGTCGTTCATCATTCTCCATGATGAAGCAAATGGTGGTCATTAATTTCCTTTTCTGAAGAATTATGAGGCTGGGTGAATGAGGCCGTAATAGGATTTGTGTAACAATTATGAAATTATTATCACGAATTACGAGATGGTAAAAGGTGGAATAATTTAAATACTCTGCTAATGAGTTTCTTTAAGTATTGTAATATTAATATTTCACTGGAAATTTCACGTATTCACGTACCCTAAATTTTATATTATTTCGTTTAATCGATAATATTTCATTTTATACGGGCGTCATTTTCGTAATATTTAATCAAGTTAACATCTCACGCAACTTTTCTCTGTACAAATCAATAATATTGTTAGGCATAAAAGATTAACGCAATACACAAACCGTGATCATTGGTAAATCCTGGAGCAAACAAAGTCGCCCTGTACCAAGATAATGATCTATGTATGACTTGGCAAGATTCCCGTGCCAAGTCAGCAATTGAAAAAGACAAAGGCGCAATTCGATTCCGGTCATCCAATATTAGATACAACAAAACATTTTAACTACGCGAAAGATCTCTGCATCAAAAACTAGTGATATTTGTGATTAATGGCATATACGACTTCGTTTCAAGCGACTTTATGCGAGTTTATGAATTCATACACGCGATGCAAAATATACATTAATTATGCGAAACATCTTAAAAAAAAAATACGTTTCAAGCGTAGTAAGAATCTCTAGATCTTTAGATATACTACGTGAAAAGAGGGGTCGTACAAAATCGCCTTAGATTCCTCATACTTTCGATTGAAGAAAAATCGTTCGTGATTTAACGCGTATAAAAATTCAACTAATTAATTTTATATTATATATTACTTTGCCTGAGATGAAAAGATATTGTAACGAATGAGATTCTAGAACCAGTTAGTTACGCTATTATAGCATATATTCAAGCATATTTCAATTATCTTCCTGAAAACGCAACAATCCTTCCGAAGGAACATAAACCGTGTGAAACAAGGGTCTTTGTCTTTTCTTTTTTCTTCCGAAAGGGATGATGGTCAAGGGAAAAAAACTTGGTTTGGTACTTGGCAAGGTGCCAAGTGATCGGTTCTCTCTCGGGTCTCTTTCTCTCTCTGACGGATCATACTAGGAAATGGTAAATAATGTATGTGCCTCGACACGGAAATACACGCGACTTAGGATAGCGAATCGTTGGCCTTCGTTGTGGCCGATCCGCAGTCGAGACACGATCAGTCCGTCATCAGAATATTAATCATC